TCCCAGAAAAGTGCACTCTTGCAAGCCAGCTAAAATATTTTAATTAGCAACTCTGAGTAATAACTATTACCAAAATTTATTCTATATACACTTTAAAAATTAAGTCAAGGAACATTTCCCCTATCTGGCAATGTCACAGTACATCAACGTCAAATACTAAAAGCTAAATTTACTTTTTTGAAGGTTAGCCAAAAGCACCATAAATGAGTCGTTGGTGCCCCCTTGTGGAATGTTTAGTTTGAACTTTGAAATATTTACCCTCCACACAGAAACAATAATGGGTATTTCCATCTTTTAAGACATTTAAATCATTTTCTATATGTTACACTATTTTTGAGAGGCACAATTTAAAATAAAGCCATATAAATAACTTAATGCAAACAAGAAACATAAGAAATCAAATGTTGAAACTGTTCAGTAAATTTTTGTCATTAGTTTGACAGTTTTGCTATAACCTAAAGCAAAGGTAATAGAAAAACTTAGCTTTACACAGTGAAAACATCAAAACGTTTTCTCAACAGCACTTGTACCCTTAAATTATTGCTAAGAAATTCATAATGATTTTATTATTTGAATAGCTGGAATAAGTTTAAACATCCATATTTGTGCTCATATAAATGCTGGTATAAAATGATCAGATAACTCTTAAAGTGTTGTTTCTCTTTGTATTACATATCAGAAGTTTCTCGCCATTTTTTTCCCCCAAACAATGGGGTCAGAAATAGGAAATACCTATCCTTCCTGGGAACAAATATAAGTCAAATAGAAAAAAATATTCCTGCCCATTAGCCAACAAGGCTGTTAAGGGAGGGAATATAGAGAGGTTCTAATCCTAAGTCAGTAGAAGGTGAAGCATTTAATGGTTTTCTCCAGAATTAACACTCATTCTTTTCATTATGTCATTATTATGAAGTGAAACAAAATACAAAAATAAAGTACCATATTTAATCAGCCCTCTTGTTTTGGAATCTTCTTGGGAACAGAGTAGACCATCAATAAATGTTTGGTGAACTTTTTCTTATTATTTTATCTCACCCAATAATTAAAACCTATAAGAATGTAGTAATTACTGGAATATGGTAAGATTTTTTCGTGTTTTCAAAATTTTGTCTTTAAATTACAAAGACCTTAGGACTAGGGCAGTGGCCTTTCTCTTGAACTGAGCTCTCAGGTAATAGTATATTCATGCAATTCATTTAGTTTTTCAAATGATAAAGTTGTCTAAGCCACTCATGAGCTAAGGAACTACTCTATTCAGGCAGAATTGTTCTAAATTGGAATAATGTTTTTCCTGGTATACCAATAGATTTTTCTTAAATGACAAAACAATCTTCCATTTAAGACATGGTAATTATATACATGCTAAATTTACCAACAGGGGCTCTGCAGAGACTTTTGTCATGTACTAGTGACAGACTACCTCTGCTAGAATCCTGATTCCCGCCCCCCCTTCCCCCCCCCCACTTCCTCCTTGCTGTCTGTGTGATCTTAAATATAACCTGATTTTGGTTTTCTGGTATGTAAAAGGAATAATAACTGCCTTATAGAGTCGCTGTAAGGAATAAATGAGTTAACATGTATAAAGGATTTAGAACAGTGCCTATCTACAGTAAATGCTTAATTCATAATTCAGACATTTTTTACAAGCAAGTTAGAGGTTGACTTTATAGTTTCACTCAGTATAATGCTACTGATATCAAGCTCATGTGTTCTAGTCTCACAAATGCAATTTCATTTTATTCTATTCACATGCAGCCAAATGTGTATTAACACAGATTGGTGTACCACTTAGAGTTTTAAAAATGATTTCACAATGCATCATCTATTTTAATTTCTCTTATTTATATAGATAAAAGAAATAGGCTCAGACTCAATAAGTGGCTTGCATAAGAGCACAGTTAGTAAGTAGTTCAGGATACCAACTGAGGCTTTTTGACTCCTAGCCTAGCACGTCTTCCATTACACTCTAAGAAAAATCAGCTAAAAGAATGAGTAAGCCAAACAAATCTACTGATTACATGTTAAAAGCAATTTAAGAAATCATTTAGATCCCACTTTTTTGTTTAATGAAGCATTAATCACTGAAATCAAATACTAAGAAATTAACCAATTATTAGAAGTATAATGGTTTACTTGGATAGAAATTAGTACTAAAAAAATCTACTCATTCAATAAATATTTATTGAGCACTTTCTATTGGGTTGTCGGAAAAGTCATGACACATTTTTGCAATGAAAAACATAGAAAAAATACATCATGACTTTTCTGACAACCCAATACTTGCCTGGCACTAGGCTAAGTACTAGGGATGCAACAGTATTTAAGTCAAACATAATATAGTCCATGCCTTCACAGAGTTTATACCTTATGGGGAAAGAAAATTAAACAAGCAATTTAAATAAAGTGAACTAAGTGCTGTACAGAGGAAGCACAGGATGTTATAGGAGCATACAGCTAGGGAAAGCGCTCCAGTCAGTTACAATAACACATAATAATTTAAAGTAATTAGGATAACGTTGATTGTTTTCTGGATAGCGGGAGCCTTTGTTTAATACAATTGTTGGGCTGGCCGAGTGGCGCGTTGGTTAAAAGTTAGCTTGGGATGCCAGCTCTGAGCAGCAGGGCCCCGGTTTGGATCCCACATGAGGGCCAGTGATGCTGGGCCCTCTACAGCTAAGATGGTGAACAACAGCTCAACCTGGAGCTGGGCTGCCATGAGTCGTCGGCGTAGGCCATAGCCCCTGCTGCAGTGGGCTGCTGTGAGCTACCGTGAGCGGCCATCCAATGGCTGGCGAGTGACTGCCTCACCCGGGAAGAGCGCAATGATAATATCAACATGGGCCAGTGAAGTGAAGTCCTCCACAACTAGACTGAAGAACAAAAGGACAGCAACTTGTCTGTTCCCCTCCCCCAATTTCCCAATGAAATCTTAAAAAAAAATACAATTGTTCATGAATACTGTATAATTTTCTTCCAGTTAACTTATTTTCCTCTTGACCCTATCACAAATGTAAAACCTATTTTTTGAATTCTTACTCTAATTTTTTTCCTCAGAAAGTTTTATTATAAAATCATTAAAATATGTGGTATTCAGTCCTTATACTAGTTGACTCATAACTACTTGATCATAATACTAAAATTTTAATTAAAATCAGGAATATAAAAAGTTTGAACTTCCATTGTTAACAGTACCTACAAATAAAGAGGAACAAATGGTAATTGTTGATTTCTAAAACTAAATGTGGTAAAAATCTACTTTTTCACCACCAGAGTGAAATATTACATTTTAGTAGACTGGGTAACTGTAAGATGATGAATGTGATCACATTGAGAGGGCAGTGTGATTGCAAAACACAAGACAATAACAAAGTGCCTCATAATGGACTGGAATAAGGACTCCAGATTCCTCCATTGCACTACTGACAATTTCATGTGTAAAGATGTAAAAGAAACATATGTCTTTCCTTTTCCATTATTCTGCAATAAAATACAAAAACATAAGATATTGGGAATGTAAACACTTAAATCATATAAGCAATCTTGCATTTCATTTTCAAAAACATATCATGGATCTGTGATTTTTAAAACCTAAAAAGTCACTTCTGGAATAGCATTTAGGCCAGGCAGAAATCAAGAGCATAAAACAGCAAAAAAGTACATATGATAGAAAAAGATACGATTTGATCTGAGCCAGAGAAAGAAAGGTCAAAGATAAGTACATAGTTTGGATTAAATCAGAGTTGGTTTCATAAATTAAGAGAATCAAGACTGGGAATAACTTCTAAAAGAAACTTTTCTGATGGAGGAAAAAAGTGAAGTCTTAAATGAACAACATTAGTAAATATATTGAGTCTGATGTGGAAAATATCTCTGGAAATTAAATAGATATTGAGAACTAAATTTGGTTAGAATCAAGTAAATCAGAAAATGTGATATGAAATTTATGGACTGTGTAACACATTAAATACAACCAACAATTTATTCATATTTATATTTAGCCTCCAAAAATTATTTGTGAAATTAGAACGGATATAAATAAAATTTAATATTTAACAGCTAATCAAAAAATTTTAGGGAGTTAGAAACTACAAATTAAAAATTAGGGCAGAATTTTCCAAATATATCCATATCTAATGCACACTTTAAACTTGTCTTATTAAAATATAAGAAAAGCTACATTTTAAATCTGTGTGTATAGTGTGTACACAGACATATACACACATCAGATACCTAGCCACAAAGAAATGATGAAATGATCTTCAAATTTTCCCCTGGGTTTAGCAATTTGTTCAACAGTAGAACTTACTTACCTCTTTCTTGCTGCTCTTCTATAAATGAACCATAAAACTTCAAATCATTTTTGGAAAGAGGTACATTATAAACAATTTAATAAATTTTATTTTAAAAAACCTTCTTTTTCCAAGCAGCCCAAATTTGTCACAATATTGATACCCAGGCTAGAATAAAACAAATGAAATCAGTGACTATAGTTCTGGAATTTTAAAAAGTACTTACATGAAATGTATGACTTATAAAGTTTATTGACTATGATTCCCATTGTGAATAGCCACATATGTTTAATAATTTATTTTTTATGTCTTCTTAGTTATCAAGTAAATTTTATTTAAATCAATATTAGGTAAATTTTATTTAACCAGAAGTCTGCCCAAATATGACTCTCACCAAATTAAGAGAAAGATTTGTATTCAATAGAACGTCTGAAAAGATTTTATTTATATTTCATTTCAAATACTCATTTTCCAAATCCATAAGGCCATCTATCTCAAGTTAAAAAATTTAATATTATTTGGAAAGCTATTTTTTAAAAGTGATTGAAGAACATTTCAACACATAGTGATGAAATGCACAATTTTTAAATAGTACATGAAACAGTTAAACACATATATATGATAACATTGAAAATTCTTTATTTAAAACACTAACTTATTAAAATGGGTAAAAGTGACATAGTAAAATAAAATTTTTTCAAAACTCACTACTTTAAAGAAAACATACAATGACATAGATTATTATACAAAATAGGAAACAAATCATCATCTGTCATTAATAGGAAAATTTGCATGCTTTCAAAATATTCATAATTTTAAGTCAGACAAAACGTTGCTTGGGGAAATGCTTCTTTTACACTTAAAGTCTCTTTAGAGGCGTTTTAAATTCCGCTTACTCTGGGCACTTCCTGGAAGAACATCTTTTCTATTTCTTGGGTTTGCTGTTCCTCTACTACATTCTTCAGACCCATGATAAGCACACAAACATAACACACAAAAGTCAAAACCACAGGCTCTGCGGCTACACAGTCCCCTTTTCTTATATGGCTGGTACTTAGCAGGGGATTGGCACCTTGGGCAAGGTTTTAATGCTTCATCAATAAAAAGTGTTTTGGCAACCTGCAGTGAAAGCATATAAACTAAATCTTCCAGTTTCATATAGAGAATTGCTTTATTTCAAACTCTGTAAATATTTCTTTCTAATAACTTATGATAAATACTCACCTTAACGTATTCTTCCTGTTTACTATGTAAATGAGTAACTGAAGAGCTTGCTATAGGTGTCAAAACTTCTCCCCAAGGAGAAAATGTTGGAACTTGTTCTTTCTGAGAACCTGGTATCCTAGCCTGAGCTTGTACAGATCTTAAAGCTGATCGATTTAAAAGATGAAGCCGAGTGGCGGCATCCTGAACATTTAAAATAGCCCCCTGTGGTAAAAGACAAGAGGGGTCAGAACTGTAATATCAAAAGTTCCAGGACAGCTTTCTGATGCACATGTATTTAAATGTTTGGAACTGGGTTCACACCACTAGAATTTTCTCCCTAAGCCATTTCTTTCTAGAAAATTTTTTTCTTTCATCTAACATTTACAAGTTGAAGGAATATATGTATATAAAAAATTGAAACAATAAATGTTAGCTTTAAGTTTGCATGATTGGTTATTTCTGTTTAAGGTATGGGTTGACAGACTTTTTCTGAAAAGAGCCAGATAGTACATATTTTACACTTCTCAGGCCAGACAGTTGCAGTTACTCAACTGCCATTTTAGCAAAAGCAGCTGTAGAGACACATAAATGAAAGAGTAGGAGGGCTGAGTTCCAAAAAAACTTAATTTAAAAACACAGGTGATAGACAGGATTTGGCCCTCAGACCAGAGTTTGCCAACCCCTGTTTTAAGCCAAGGTCTAAGAAGAGGTCAGTCCTTTTTAAAGTTTGCTATGGGATATCATGGAATTCTTTGACGGTTTCTTACCTTAGCTATATGTCAAAAGAATAATGGCCTGGTTAGACCATGACACTCAGTTTGTTTGGCTGGTTTTTGCAATACTTGTAAATACTTAATTCATTTTTTACCCTTAAGTTTTAAACAGCTTTGATATTTTAAAAGGAGAAAAAGAAATCACTGTTATCTGAACTGGATTTCCACATCACTCAAATGTTCAGCCAAGAAATATTTCCAATGAGTAATCCTTATAGCATTCTACTTTGCTAAAGTTGGTAGTGGAAAAAAAAGTAATTTTTTTTAACCAATTGGCATTTTTAACCAATTATCAAAATTAAATGTACTGCAGGTGAGCTTCCTCATGTGTCCAAGTATAATTGTGTTTCCTCTCCCTTGATAGTCTACCTTAGCCACAATTGGCTCCTAACTGTGGGGAGACCTAAAACATGAGAAATTATAGTAGAATAAATATAGGAAATGAGGTTAGCTGGTCATGAAAAATTACATGATTAACAGTTTAATAACATATGAATAAGTATAATAGATGAGTATTGGTTTTCAGAAATTAGAATAGTTGAAATTTTTCAAGGAATCAATACATCTCTTTATATTACATTTGTATAAATGATTTGCAGTGTAGGCCACAAGCACATGACACAAGAGCACACATGACAAAATTTCAATGGACTTTGATGCAGTTGGTAAACATAGTGATTATGCATGCACCAAAAAAAAACAAACCCCAATAGAGATATGTTGTTGAAGCAAATTTCAGCCACAGAAGAAACATTCATTCATTTAACAAATATTTATAGAACACCTAACGGTGCCAAGTGAATGAAACAGTCCAATCCCTGTTCTCCTGGAGCTTAAAATGTGTGCTGCTATCTCTGAACGATACAAGGCAAAGCAGTTAACTAAGGCACATGTTCGTCAACACCCAAAATGTTTGAAACATAGTCATCATCATGTTACCAGAAAACATCTAAAAGCGAGAGTGGAGTCACCTTATGATTGTTCATTTCCACGATTATAAGAAAACAGTGAAGAACACAGTAAATTTAGAAATTCAATGGAAAAGATGTAGTATTCCAATTTTAATGCTCATTCTCACTGCTGCAAAGCAAACATAAAATTGAGATCCTATTACACACAGCTGGTCTGTCTGTGCTTCTAATTTTCACACTAAAGAGTTTTCAGTGATGCTATTCAACTGTGAGGAAAACCATCTAACAATTTTGTTTTGTAATTTTTGTTTTGGTTAGTGATCCATTAGGCTAATTCAGGTAGAAAGCAACCAGTCCATATTAGAATGAGAGGGCAAAGAGCATCAGGATGATGTCTCTGAGGAAAAGAAGGAACAGGTAGAATACTTAGAATACTTGATTTGTTTGGACTTACACAGAGGAGATTTCCAGTTCTGGTGGATAAGAGGAGATGAATCAGGGATCTGTATAGAGAAACACTAAGCAAAAAAGAAAGACACTGGGCAATTATTAACTCTGGAAGTTATATTTTAAAAAAGGTATAATCATATGCACCACATATTACAGATGTCAAAAAGTCATAATAATCTCAACAGTCTTCATAATGTGAGCATCTAGTTCTGATTCGCTCCCAAATGATGGTGTAGTTATATTAGTTAAGATAGGACAAAGGGAGAAAGGCATTCAGAGAGAGGTGGGTAGCTAGGGAATGGTAGTAATGGTGAGAGGTTAGAGAACAACCCCTTTACAGAAAAATGCCAAGAAATTGCAATAAAGGCATGCTATTTAAAAATGTGCATGTAAATATCAGGAGGACTATATCTAAAAATATATGTTAGGAAGGCAATTAATATCTTCACTATTATAACTAAAGACTTTAAAGTGATGGCCCTGATGGGGCAAGAATCAAGAGTAAGAAGGGAGAGGGCAGGAGAAGGTGTTTTGTTGTAAGCCCCATTGTCCAATTTGACTATTTTAACCATGTATGTGTTTTACTTTGAAAAAAAAATTTGAAAAGAAAATCAAAACAAGAAAACAAAAAAGTACAGTCCTTTAAGAAACCAAGATAAAAAAATAAATAAATAAAAAGTAATGGGTAGGCTATGAAGATTGAATATTTTATATAGAATTACCTGAAAGGCTGCCAAACACAGCTACAAGGTTTTTTCCTTAAAGAATGTAAGGAGTACATGGAGCTAGAAGTTTAATATTAATAGGTTCTGGCTTAAAAATTGCTTTTTGAGTGTCCTTAGCATCTAAGATATGTTAGGAAGGCAATATCTTCACTATTTTAAGATCCCAGAGGCAGCAGTTGTAGCCTAAGTAGCCAGAAGCTGTGAATAAGTCATAAAGCAACTAATCAAAGGTGAGAAGATATAACTTTCCCTCAAAGTAAAACAGATAGTCAAAGTTTTAGTTAACAGCAGTCCCTCATATTTCACTGTAATGAGAAACCCACCAATCTGTATCTAGGTGTTCATATTTGTTTATATGCTTCATCTCAATTATTAATCAAATTAGAAATTTACTTATATTATTAAATGCTTTTTACTAGAACAAGAATAAGGGGGTGAACTCTCAGAGTATCTTTTATGCCTGAGAAAGGTCTAAAACTTGAACTTACAATAAATATGGGTGCCAGAGTCAGCAGATGCCTGTTACACCAAGTAGCCTCTCTAGGAAGAATTAATCAGCTTCTGTAGGGCTTGTCTTGTAACTTCAAAGCTGGACCTCACATTTATGAAGCTCTTCCTGTACTGATCTGCCATGCTCACACACCTCCAGGCCTTCATACTCGCTATTCCCTCTGCTAAACCCTATTCCCTGTCTTCACCTGGCTAACTGCTAATTCATCATTCAGGCCTCAGCTGAGATGAAATTTTTCTGAGAAGCCTTCTCTTGATTCCCAAGTATCAAACACTCCTTTTAAGTAATTTGTTACTTTATTTATTTATTTTTAAATTTTTATTAAATTTCTTGGGGTAGCAACTGTTAGAAAAGTTAATATAGGTTTCAAGTGTACAATTCTGTAATACATCCTCTATATATTGCATTGTGTGTTCACCACCCAGACTCAGTTCTCCTTCCATCACCATATATTTGACCCCATTCACCCTCCTCTATTACCTCCCTCCCTCTTATCCTCTGGTAACCACTAAACTGTTGTCTGTGTCTATGATTTTCTGTTTGTTTGTCTGTCTTGTTCGTCTGTAGCTTTCAGTTTTATATCCCATGTATGAGTGAAATCATATGGTTCTTGACTTTTTCTGTCTGATTTATTTCACTTACATGATAATCTCTATATGCACCCCTATGTTCACTGCAACATTATTCACAGGGGCCAAGACATGGAAACAACCAAAGTGTTGTTCCACAGATGATTAGATAAAGAAGATGTGGTACATATATTCAATAGACTATTCCTCGGCCATAGGAAAAGAGGAAATACTGCCATTTGTGACAACATGGATGGATCTTGAAACACTCCTTGTAAATGTTCCAATAGAACTAACTCTGGGCTTCCCCTAACACACCTGCATTGTAATCACCTGTTTACCTGTATCACCCACAGGGTAAGAGCTCCAAGAGAGCAGAGACCATGTAAGAAATGTTCACCATTGGAATCTAAGTAACTGACTGACATGTAATATCCACTTAAAAGACTGAATAGAAAATGCTATAAGGATATCTAAATGTGAATAGGGTTCAGCATATTACTGCTATTCAAATACTGCTAACAACACATATACTTAAACAACAAACCCAACAAGATGTTCTTCATGCTAGGTAGTCTACTCCACTGACAGTTATGAAGAAAATAGAGCTTGGAAAAAGTAAAGAGTTTTTAAGTGAATGTTTGCTAAATGGAAACAGTTGAAAATTAGCAGTAAAACCAAATTAGGTTGTCCAGCAATATGGGATTATTAGATATTTATATTTTAGAATCTATTTTAGAAAGTTATTATATACATTACCTGAGAATCTGTTTTCAGTTGTGTGATATAAAATTTCCTCCTCCGATATGCTTTTTTATCTTGAACAATAATTTCACGCCAATTTCTGCTCACTTTCCAAACACTATAACAAAAACATCAGTCCTTATATTGCATATATTCCACAAGATTAACATTTTCTACACATAGCAATTAATAAGAAAAACTTTTTAAAAAAGATTTTGGACAGTAAATTTAAACCTAAAAATTTACATTAAAAATACGATTTGCTCTATATTGTTGTTTCATATTGTTTTACCACATGAAAGAAATCCTATTAAAATATTAAATATTGGGTTGTCGGAAAAGTCATGATGCATTTTGCAACAAAAAACATAGAAAAAGTACGTCATGACTTTTCCGACAACCCAATATATGCCAGATTATGTTGATTGATTATTATCTTAGAAATGGTTAAGGGAAAAACATAGTTTCATATAAAGCCAATATAAGTCCACAGGGAGACTGATTAAGAGCATTTAACTTTAAATGTGACACTAAGATTGAAAGTTTAGACTATGACTTCAGCAAATGATTATCATCTATAGTAGGGGTCGGCAAACTTTTGAGAAGGAAGAGCCGATCCTGTCCCTCACAACAATTTAAAAATTATTTGAGAGCCATAAATATATTTTTACAAATAAAGAAAACATAAAAATCCTTTAAGAATTTTATAAATGAAACTATGATAGTTTTATTTTCATTTTCAATTTTACCTCAAAGCTACATGTACGTACCCAAAGAGCCAAATGCAGCTCGCGAGCCTCAGTTTTGCCGACCTCTAATGTATTGCACAAGATGTTTTTATCAATTTCTTCTACTAATGTATTTAACAAATCTATCATTTTGATTAAACAAACATAAGAATAATCAATCCTTCATTGGAAGTACTAAGCACCAAACATTAACTATTATTATGGGTAGCACTACAAAGTTCCTATTTTATAAACCAAAGTTTATGAGAATGAAGCATCTAAAGAAAAAAACAATTTATGTCCAGTGATTGCTTATTTAATATCAATAACTTTGACTATACTAATTATTAAAGATAACCCTTCAACTGTTAATCTGGTGTTTTTTATTACTCTAATTTAACAAATCAAAGGGAATAAGATCAAACAGTTGGAAAAAAAAATAGTCACTTGTTATGGAGGGCCCCAGGTAATATTTGAGTTGTCAACACTATGTTCTTCCAGCTACCATGGCCACTTGAGTTGCCAGTGCCTCTTCCTAAACTGATACACGTATTTTAGATTGATGAAGAGGAATAGGCAGAAAGTCACCCATTAACATGAAGAAATGAACTATATAATTGGGTATTTGCCACAGCTATTTCAACTAACCATAACCTCAAATTATCAAGAATAAACACTGCTAAGATTATACATGCATTCTGCAGTACAAACACTACAAATTTGGAGGGTTGGGCAGAGGTAATTATTGAAACATGACTCAATATCAACTGCTCCCAAAAATGAGCACCCAAAAGTATCAAATTTTTATTTTAACTGGTCTGTATCCAAATATACTCCAGCATATAAAAATAAAATTCCTACATCTCAGCCATCTCTTAATCTTTTAAATGAATAATTTATCTCATTTGAACATTTTAAAAAGGCACATAAAATATAGGTGCACTAATCTATTTATTATCCTACTTGGGTTAGACCAAATACATTCCTGATCAAATCTTTTCAGAAACACTTTAAACCTTAAGAGTTTGTGGAGAAACACTGGATTAGAAATCAGAGGGCTCGATTGTAGATCCGGAGCTATTGTTATCTCCTTGAGTGACTGTGGCTGGTCACTTAACTTCTCTGGATGTCAGTTTCCTCACCTGCAAAATACACAACTGGACTAGATATCTCAGACTTCCAGCTATGAAATTCTACAGTTCTCTACAACAGCCTCCAATTAATTCATGGCAGAAAGGTGAAGTAGAGCTCTAAGAGAAGCAGTGGTCATAAAAAAGGCAAGGACTCAATGAACCAAACTCTTGACATACTCCTATCAAAAAGGAGGTTCACTAACTCTCCTGTATGTCTTCCCCAAACGATCAGTTCACAGAAATCCTGTTCCACATAGATTCCCTCCTTCCTGGTCATGCCATTCCCGAGGGCCTTGTCTTCTGATAGCTCCGCAACTCCCTAAAATTGCTAGTATGAACAGTCTCACTTTAGTCTTTGTAACACTAGCTCCCACCCCTAATACTCCTGTCTTACTTTCTCTTTAATTATGTAGCAGTGCTCAGCATACTGAAATCTCTGTGATCATAAATTCTTCAGTTTCTAATACCTTGAAATTCCAAAACATAATTAATTTCCACTGTTGTGTTAGCAATTAAAATGAAACAATACATATTCCCATGGTCTCTGGAAAGACCACACCCTAAAATGAAAGCTAACCATTGTTTTCCAAATCGAGAACTTAAATAAATGGGATCCTTTGTATGTTGTCATTTCTTAGTTCCCATAATGCTTTACATTACTTCTGACCAAGTGTCATAACTTCAATGCAGTTTGCAATCTGACAACAGGATATGAACTATTAAATAAATCATTAAATAACTTTTGTTGAATAAAGCTTTTCATCTTGAAATTTTAAAGTTCAACTTTTAGGAACTCTCTTCCCAAATGACTGAGATGAACTTTATCCAGAAGAAAACTATATTGTTGCTTCTAAAGAAGGCTTTTAGGGCCAGCCAAGTGGTGCGTTGGTTAAGAGCTGGCTTGGGACACTAGCTCTGAGCAGCAGGGCCCTGGTTCAGGTCCATATATGAGGGCCAGTGATGCTTCGCCCTTTAGAGCTAAGATGGGGAACAACAGCTCGACCTGGAGCTGGGCTGCCGGGAGTCGCTGGCGATGGTATAGGCTGCAGCGCCTGCTGCAGTGGGCTGCCATAAGCTACCATGTGTGGCTGGCAGCCAGCATGAGCAGCCAGCAGCTGGTGTGAGCAGCTGTCCAGAGTCCGGCGAGCGACTGCCTCACCCGGGAAGAGTGCAATAATACCAACATGGGCCAGTGAAGCAACGTCCTCCACAACTAGATTGAAGAATGAAAGGACAGCAACTTGTCTGTACCCCTCCCCCAATTACCAAATAAATCTTTTAAAAAAAAAAAAGAAGGCTTTTAAATGGAAGGAACTATACCAGTAAGCTCTATCAGGAAGTTCACTAAACCACCTTTGATAAAGTGTAAGACAATCAAAGATAGAAATAATAAAACAAAGCAAACAAAAAGCTGGAAAATTACTCATAGAAAAGCTTTCCAACTTATTTTTAAAAGTGATAAAAGGCAGTTTTATTTTAGAAAAAAAAATTTTTTACCTGCATAGGCTTTCTGCAGTCAAGGAATCTAAAACCATTGCCAGAATATGCTTTAAATTTCTATATTTTAATTCTGTTAAGATGTCCAGTTTTTCTATACCCATTTTCTTGCCAATTAGTCCTGCAAGTACACATTGCAGCAGAGCTATTTTCCCCCTATTCCTCTCTTCCAAGAATTCATGTGTACTGTTTTGCTGGAATCTTTTCCTTTTACTTTTCATAAAGAGCTCATGCACTAATTGCAAGGCTGGGGTCTTTGACAAATTCTTAAAGCTCAAAATCGAATCCCCACTCTGACTGTCACTGCTCGGCTGACTCTCCAAGATGTCTGAAGCAGTTGCTGGTGTTATTTCAGAGTCAGAGTGGATGACCTGCTTTTCCTCTTCTGTCTCAGACTGTGAGCCTTGCTCTCGAAGGGTAGACAACCTTCTCAACCTTCCAAGACGCTTTGACCCCACTTTGAGAGTTCCCTTATGTCTCTGAAGTAATTCTTGAAAAGAACCCTCCTGGTCAGAGAGGGAATCTTCTGATTTATCCAAGCAAAGTGAGTTAAAACCACTATCTTTGGGTGTTGAAATATTGCCTCTCACTTCAGTTGAAGGAGAAAGCCTTTGACTTGCCTTAAATTTAATGTTTGCTACAAGGTTACTTACTGGAGTCACAAATATGTCCTCATCTGTTTCATAAGTTGTTCCACTTTCAGAGGAGCCCAGAAGTTCCAGATATGGATTCTCATCGTTAACACACAGACTGCTATCACTAAAGTCATGGGTGACAGGGTCTTTAAAGTTATTGCCCTGAATTGGAGATATACATTCAACTTCAAACAGGCTGCAGTCATCTTTGGAGTCATCAACTGTGGAAGTCTTCTGTTGAGAAAAATTCAGTCTCAATTTTTGACTGCTGGAAGTCGCTTCTTCTGTTTTCAAAGTGCTAGTAACCAAAGTACTAAAATTATTTTGCCTTGGAAAACCTGAAGCACTGCTTGGAATATCTTTTTCTAAGTTGGAAGCTTGGCTTACACTACTTTCTAGAGAACTATTTTGTGATTCAAAGTCCCTCTTTAGAAGAGAGAAAGATATGTCCAGCCTTCTGCGCAGTAAAAATTTTTTTCCACCGACTTTAGGAGTTTCACAAAGTACTGGGGTTTTATCCGTTTGCTTCCTAGGGAAGACAAATCTCTTTTTTTGAGTGAGGGACTCTATAGGATGTGTTAAACCCAAAATTGAAGTTTCAGGATGTTCATAGTTCAATGTTGGACGTTTTTCTTCCTTTCCAAAAAATGCTTTATCTGTATTATCAAAGCTGCAAGATTTTAACAACTCACTGTAGCCACTGTCTTGAAATGAAGATGTAGAACATAAATCTCTGAAGCTGGAGTACTTGAAATTGACAGCAGGAGAGTTCGCCTCATTTTCTGCCCCAGTTTGAGCGTGATCTGAATGCCTTTCTGACATCTTCAAAATCTGTTTTGACAAAGTGAAAACCAATTTTACTCTTCCTTTGAAATGAATAACCACATAAGCTTACACCAAAATACATTATTTGTTATGAGTACAGGTAATAATGGAAATTTCATGGCAATGAAAATGTACTTTAAAAAACAAATCTACTCTACAATATACTCGTGTATTTTACTTAAAACTACTTTTTGACATCATAAAAATGAAAACTTTCAGTTTATAAAAATTCACAGACTAGTCTAAACACCATGTACTAATATTTTCTTGAACTACGCTTGAGAAAAAAATCAGGTAACATCATTTTTAGATGATTTTATTACCTTATGATTTTAACAGCACTAAAGTACATAATTGTAGGTTTAATAATCTAGCTTATTTGTGCTGGCCTATATCTAGTCAGTTGGGTATTTCAAAGTTCTGGGACAAGGGTCGGCAAACTTTTGAGACGGAAGAGCCAATCCTGTCCCTCACAACAATTTAAAAATTATTTGAGAGCCATAAAACAAAAATGAAATCACCATTATGTGAATAATATCTTTAAAAATTTTTATAAGTGAAACTATGATAGTTTTATTTTCATTTTCAATTTTACTTCAGTACCCAAAGTGCCGCATGTGGCTCACAAGCCGCAGTTTACATCCTGGGATGTAAATAAAGCTGCTTAAAAAAACCTTTCTGCTAATTTTTAAACATGTCTTGAGGAAATGTGTCAAACGAGCGCTGCCACCAGATTTAACTGCAATTTGGCTAAGCAACTTCAGGATACTGTTATGCATACTTATAACAGAGGCCTGTCTCAGAAATTCAGTCCCCATGACCATTCACAAGGTCTGATTCCCACACTTATACCTTTGCAAAGACTCTGGCTCATTGATAAATTACAAACACATCTTCTTTAGCTAATCAAAATGAACCACTGCCTCATAGATACAGGGCCATTTCAAAGTCAGCATGTTATACGCGTTCATGTTTTATCTTCTAAATATTTTTAAACATAAGGTCCAGTTGCAGGTTTGAATTCACAGACAACAGGCAACTATTTGTGGGAAACCCACCCTTTATAATATTCATGAAATTTCAAATAAAGAATTCAAGTAAATTACTTAAAGAAGAAATGTGACTTGGTAATCATATTTGTAAACACACTAGGAAAGACTTAATTTTTTCAATAGTATCGCATTCCTTCTTTTTAGAAACTTGAATTAAATCTTAACTCAAAGGAAGCTAAGAAAGTTATCATAGTTTCTGATATTTCTCCAGATTATTCAAAGACACTAAGACAACTGTTATGCTTTCAAAATTTTCTCCAAACCAAATACATAACTTTCCTCTATTAAAGATCCTGGGAAGATATACTTTAGTTGGCTGTAATGGGAAAGTAATTTATTTATGCCTGTGATATCAGTTAAACATGTGAAATGCGTGAGCTCTTTTTTTTTAATTGCTACTAAAACCACAAAATGAAATAGTTTTTTTATGATATAATGATCATTATTACTGGGCAAAGTAAGTGTTTTTCAACCTTTTAAACCTATTTTCCTTTCTGGTAAATCTCACACATGTTTTATTCTGATCTAAGTCCCCACTGATCATGAGAATCACTGCTATCTTCTGTACATGCTTATCAGCCAAGACTATCAAACTTTGCTTTCCATAATTTGTATATTTTAAAACAATTTTTGTTTCCAATATATTAAGTTAATAAGATACGTATTTTCAAATTTCACCTTCACCCACGAATGTTTCCCTCTCCTGGAGAATCATTCTATGAAGTAACAATTTTCACTCATGTCATTTGGTAAAATCAGGTCAAGAAATCCTTTTCAAGTTAAAATAAATATAACTATTCTACCACTTCACCACTAGGTGTCTCACCGAGCTAGATTTTGGGAAACAGAAGCAAATTGTTAGCAACGAGTGGGATGCAGATATAGCATCCTCTCCCCCTAAAAACCATAGGCTACTTGTTATAAACATACAAAAAACTTTCTTCTAATTTTTTCTGTTCATCTACACATCTGAAATTGCCTCAAACGTGCTTTCTCTGCTGTCATCATGTTCATATTTCTACTACCCCAAGACATTGGTGTCAAACAAAACTAGTTTTTCAAAACATAGTTTTTTAGTTATTTAAAATTATTCACGCAAAATTACACAATGCCCATTGGCTTACTTAATTTTTATTGATTCAACAGTTCACTGATGAATCAAACAAGCCTCCTCGATATTCAGTTTTTTACACCAGGCTCCTGATAAAGAGTGGAGAACACTTATCTCTATAGCGCTCTAAAAAAAAAAAATTTAAAAACACTTGTCAAATCGGAGAATGAAGTACTTATTATTTAACTATATTAAAAGCAAATCTCTCTCATTTGTTAAAGTGGAAAATCTTACCATCAGTAAATAGTGAGCTTAGATGTCAAAGTTACGTAGGCTTCCAAACAAGAAAATCTCTCAGTTTGCCTTGAAAATTCATGTCAAAGAAATGCCATTTAAAGAGAAAACTTCAGTTTGAACAACTAATTGAAACGTACTAACGGTGACTGCTAATATTTGCAGGGTACCGAAAGTACAGTCTGCAGGGATTATTTCTGACACGTGAAAAGGCCTAAATCATTTTGAATTTCCTTCAGCTTTCCGGACCACGGGGGTTTTAATAGCCTCGTTTTCTCCAGCTAGTCTTAGCACTGAGGCAACATCCCAAATTCGGGTTTCTGAAAACTCGGCGGAAGCCGCGGCGCCGGCGTTTACTCCCCAGGTGCTATCCGCGGGGGGTGGGTACCGGGCGTCCCTCCCGGGACCTTCCCAAGGCCGGGCCGGCGGGGGAGGCTCGGCTGGGCCGCCGGGGCCCTGGGCCCAGAAAGCCACCGAAAGGCCGAGGGTGGGTGCGTGTCACCTGGAGCGGAGCGAGTGAAGCGGGCGGCTTCAGGGCGCCTCTCTAGTCCCAGCACCTGGAAAGCAAAGTGGGGCGCGAAGCCGGGGGACGCCCTGCGGCCCGCTGGCCGGCTCGCTCCGGGGGCCCCCGCTCCTGCCCACCTGGGGACCGAGGGGCCGCCGCACCGACCCGGCCGCGCGGGGCGCCGAGGCCGACCGGCGGGAGAGGAGAGAGCTAGCGCTGCCCGGTGCGCCCGGGAGAGGCCACGGCCTCGCCTCCAGGGAGGCCCGGCTATAGCAACCCCCACGCCACCTTCGCTTGGGGCCGCCGCGTCTCCCTCCTTCGGTTTGAACCGCCCGCTCTGAGTAACCGCTGGCGCCGCCCCGCCCCGCGCCGCCCCTTCCTCCCGCTCCGCGGCGCCCCCCTCCGGCCGCCCGGCGCCCCGCAGGACCCCGGCCCGCGCCTTCGCCGGAGGGGGTCACAGCCTCTCCTTCCCACCCTTTCACCCACGTCCAAAGCACCACGAGGGCTTCCCAATCTGATGGGTTCTTCCTCTCCCCATTCTCACTTTGGGGAGCATTGTAAAGAAAGGCCTTGGATGCATTAAAAATAATAAGGGGAATTTGAAAACGTTTCCAGAGATAATCAAGTATAAAAAGCAGGTTACAAACCGAATGACTCCTTCTGATTTAGAAATACAGATATACACAGGATAAGGTCTGAAAGATATGATTAACTTGGTTACAGTATTTCTAGATAGGATTACTCTTGGTTTTCAGGCATCTAAAAGTTGGTGTTTTATCTTATTTACTTGGCACCTGTTATTATATGCCAGACTCCATCCCCAAACTTCTTCCTACTCTCCTTTTTCTGGCTTCTTTACCTTGGCCTATTCACAAATTGAGGCGTTCTGCCTCAGCATTTTCCTTATTTTACCATTCTGTGCTTACATAGTTCTCCTGCAAAGCCTCAGCCATTACTTTTAAGGCAGTTAACAGCTGCTACCACCACTTTCCTCTGACTGGACATTTCTCCATCTGATTGCCCCTTAGTCATCCAAATTGCCATATATCTAAAATCAAATTCGCTAATAATTATTAAGCTCCGACTATGTGCCTACTACTGGGCTAGGTGCTGAGAATCCAAAGATGAGTAAGGCATAGTTAAGGGGCTCAGTGGTGTAAGTGCTATAACAGAGGAACAGTGGTAGCACGAAGGAAAGATGGATAAGCCAGCAGAGCTAACTTCATAAAGACCATGAAATGAAGTGGATTTTGAAGGACAAGTGGCAATTTGAAAGGCAGTTAACAGGCGATTCCAAACTCAAAACAAAACGTGCAACAACAGGAAAATGGACACAGCTGGGCACATTAGAAAAACTGTAAATAATTTGTTATAGCAGGAAACTAAGAATTGTTTGAGGAAAGGGCAAAGAAAATTCCTTCCTTCTCTCCCCCAAACATCACCAAATAATTTATTTGGAATTGGAGTTAAAATAACATTTGACAGTTGTGAAATGTATGTTTGTTTTGATACTTCTGATCATTTGTACAACTTATTTAGGACAAGTTACCAGATAAATTTTACATGATTTCTTCAGGACTGGGTTTTTTCATTAACTTCAAATTTGGGATCTTCAATTTGAAGTCAGGGAATGCATTCATGTCTACATTACCATACATTTGCTTAAGCTTAAAAAGCTCCCTCTCCAAATTTTGCTGATATTCTGGGCCAGTATCAACAGGTCCTCCAGACGACTGTCGCTTACTTCTGTATTCTCTAGTCTTGTTCATGAAGTTTCTGTACAGGATCAAGTTCTTTATTAAATGTCACTGCTATATCACCAATATTCCTCCTCAAATGGACTGAGATTGAAGACTGAATGACAGAGGAGAACCTGAAGAGCCTCTGAAGATTCATAATGATTCTGTTACTTGCGCTCAGTCCCATTCTTGCAAAGAAAATTCTTGAGTAGGGGAAGAAGCTAAATCATGGAGAGTGTTGGATGCATGTTAAGGGTCTGAAGTTTATCCTCTAGGCAATGCAGAGCATTTAGAAAGACCACTCTGGTGACAGAATGGAGGACAGAAGGAAGAGAGGTGAGAGTGGCTGCAAGGATACCTCTTAGGAAGCTACTGCATTACTCTGGAAGATAGTGGGGATGGAGAAGAACTTGGACGTGACATATTCGATTAGAATCAACTGCATGGGACATGGGGCGACAGAGTGAAGAGTATAGGTTTGGGAAAAAATAAGATGAATTCAGTATGAGGTTGTTGAGATACCTATAAGGACGTTAGATAAGAATTGGTGAATTACACATTCTTCAAGATAACACCTCTCTGAAGCCTGCCCCCCACAGGCAGGTAGAGTTAGTAGTGCCCTCTCTAGCTCTTCAAATTTCTTTACAGGTGTTATGCCTTTTCCTGCTCAGCATTCACAATCCTTTTCTGCTGAATTTTCTCCATATAATTTATCACCTTCTAAAATACCACATTATCTATTTAATTTGTTTAATGGTGCTCCCCACTCCCATCATAATGAAAATAGGACAGGGAACTTTGCCTATGGTTAAATAAAATCCACACAACCCAAACATTTCCTTTTTCTCTTTCTCTAGTTAATTTTTTTTAGATATTTTATTACAACCGAAGAGTGAAACAGCATAACTCCCTTCTATCATTCAAAAAATAATTTTTTATGTCCCCCCCCCAAAGAGGTAAAAAGGCACCTATTTACATATAGCTTGTCCTGGCTTTACTCATAACAAATTCAAGCCACTGAGCTATATTTTCCTGTTTTTTACTCACCATAATCTTTGGGCTTTTTGCTTCCTTTTCTGGATTGGGTATCATACCATTATTGACCTCAGAATTCTAAAACCTATCTGTTTTCCATAAAATCTAATGCTTCTTTCAGGGACCATCCAGTAAGACATTAATGGAAGACTTTTTTTAGTCACCATGGCATTCAAGCTTCACAGATATTTTTAAATGATTACATATTCAAGGAAAAAGGAAAACAGAGATTCAGGGAGAAAATAGCAAGTTGCATCTCCATAACTACATTATAAGGAGTTAAAAGCACTAGTATGAAACATAGCAAAGACAAATATTCTCATTAGGAGAGGGCAATGTAATGATGTCACAGTAAGTGCTCAAGAAAAGTTTGCTGAGACCATTGACAATAGCTTCCACTGACCATGCTCCATAGTAATCCTAAAACTACTGGTTCCTGCTGACAAGAAAGAGGGTGTTGGATCTGGACTAGCATCAACATGAACTCTTGTTGAAATTTTGGATCTTCTTGCTACTTGTAATTACTCTACCCCTCTGTATGGTTCAGGACCCATTTATATTCCACATATATCATCCATTCTGATCTCCACAAACTATGTTTGTTATGTGCCAGAATCATCTTGATACCTCAACTGGAGAGTCAGAATGCAGGACAGCTTGCAATGATTCAAGTTACACATTCTGGGGCCAGCCAATTGGGGCCGGTTAAGAGTTGGCTTGAGACGCCAGCTTTGAGCAGCAAGGCCCCGGTTAGGATCCCACATTAGGGCCAGTGACGCTGCGCCCTCTACAGCTAAGATGGTGAACAACGGCTCGACCTGGAGCTGGGCTGCCATGAGTCGCCGGCAACTGCGTAGGCTGCAGCCCCTGCTGCAGTGGGCTGCTGTGAGCTACTGTGAATAGTTGGCAGCCAGAGTGAGCTGCCAAGAGCCACCGTGAGCGGCTGTTCAGAGGCCGGTGACCGAGCTGCCTCAGCTGGGAAGAGCGCAATAATCACAATACTACCATGGGCCAGTGAAGTGACGTCCTCCACAAATAGACTGAAGAACAAAAGGACAGCAACTTGTCTGTTCTCCTTCCCTGATTCCCCAATGCTGTTCCCTCCCCAAATTCCCCAATAAAATCTTAAAAAAAAAAAGTTACACATTCTGGATCACTCCATCATCTTTCTCTTGATTATGGTTTTATTTAATACTCCTTGTAGGGAAGCTTATTTTGACTGTTTTGTTGAATTACTTCTCTTTGGTTGAGAGGAGAGGTTCTTTGTAAAGAGAGCTGATAGTCAAAATATTTATGCTGTATCTGTGGAGAAAGAAGAAGGAAATTTCATTTCCCTGAAAATTTAAAAATCAGCAGCTAGGAAGACTGGGAAGACCAAGTTAAATCTCTCAAGCTGGTCTGCGAAGGTGCAACTAGTTGGGACTCCTTTTGGAAGTGAAAGGTGAAGTTCGAAGCTCTCAGGTTGCTGAATGGAAGAAGGGATAGCAGAATAGCCTGTTTAAGAAGAAAACGAAGACATAATGAATAAAGGGGAGAAAGAAAACTGCTTCTCCAGTTAACTATAATAGTTATTAACAACTGATTAAGTTTTTAATAAACTTTAATAACTTCATTTTCTTCTCTCTCCATCTAAGTAAAATACCTGCTGTGAAAGAAATAAGGTAAATGTGAATCCAAGTGATATTGTCACTGTACTTTTTATCTTTGAAAAAACTTATCTCCACTGGGCACGTGGTTTTCTTCTAGGGAGTAATATATGGCACTGAAGGGGGGTTGGGGTCGGGGAGACAGCTACCATTACCAAAATCCCTTAGCTTTAGGTGGGAGTAATTTTGATGAAGCTGCCTTCACGCCCGCCTTTACTTTAAAACAAGTAAAAGGAGTGGGTGAGAGGGATGACAGAGGTCTAAGAGAGGGTTGAAAAGCAAAACCAAAATTATGCAAAAGATAGAGGGCAGCTGCTCCACTGCCCCAGCACAGATATCAAACGATATGAAAACCAATCTGAAAAGTGCTTTTCTACGTGAAAATGGGCGGTTGAGTTGATTCTCGGAGTAACGGTTAGCTTAGCATTCCCCGGGCACTTGTCATTTCGGTTTCTCTCTAACCCTCTGCCTTCCTGAAAAAGTGTTCCTACCGACTTTCTACCGACTTCATTAGTAAGAAATATAAACCTCTTTCGAGTTGAGGAACTATTAAATGCTTTGCGTTCCTGAAAAAAAATAGCTGAGGGCGGAACAACCACTTAGCTCACAGTCTAAAACGCAAACGTCCCGGCTGATCCGCCTGGGCTCAATCCGGATTTCTCTGCCCGGAACGGAAGGGGCGGAGACTTCCCTGCGTCATTTGCTAGCGCCGGATCTGGCTGCGACAGAACGACGAGCTGCAATCTGGAAGGGCGGTGTTTGACGAGTTTTTACGTGCTAAATTGGTAAGGATTTAACGGGTTGGGATTTGGGGGTGGGCATTTGGTCCAAAACTGGACTGACACTGGGACTTAAAAAGGTCCGTATGGGGTTAGAGTTGGGAGAGGCTAGGGGTGGAGTCGATGCTGTTAGCCCCCTTTGCCTGGTTTCTTTCAGTTTAGCTATTTGGGGTTATTTCATTATTCTTCCCTTACGTTCGAGTCTCATGTTCCCTTGTTGAAAGATGTAAGTTTTGGCCATCTCCTGCTAAAGTTTGAAAAAGTATAACTTGTACTGAATGAGAACGTGAGCTTTGCAGTGAGTTCTGAATCCCGCTGCCTCCTAACAGTTAAATAATCTTGCGCAAATTAATTTCTCTAAGCCTCGGTTTCTTTATCAGTAAAATAAGAGTAATACCTTCTGGGCTTGTTGTGAACATTATAATGAAATAACCTGTATAAATGAAATAACGTGTGTACAACATTTATTATTGTGTCCAGTTTGGGGGTGAGTGCGAGCAATACGTTGTTTGTATTGTCCTTTAGACGTACGCATGGTGTTTGAAAAATTACGGATTAGGAACTGGGACCTTTTTAGCTTTCTCTGAGAAAAATGAGGGCTGGTTGGATTTGTAAGGACCCCCTTTGAGATATTCAATATTGAGTTTGTGATTTCAGGGCCTAACAATGGACACCCAGAAGGACGTTCAACCCCCAAAGCAGCAGCCAATGATATATATCTGTGGAGGTAAGAGTACCACTTAGATAAAGTAGGAGTATTTTACTTCAGTTTTTTTGGAAATTACTATATTTCTCTTGCTTAAATGAGTCACTCATCTTTAAAGTTATAAAGCAAAACACTTCAGCAGCCATGAAAAATCCTCTCGATAAAATTTCATTTTGTCTCCTAGAAAAAGTGCTGCCCACAAGTATTTTTTTTCTTTCTTCCTTAATACGTTGGTGATAACAACATACCCCTGAAATTGAGTCTATTTTAGTGCGTTGGGTGAAAAATATGGTTAAAATAATTTGCTCGTCTGCAATGTTTTCCTTTTAGACATTAAATAAATGTGTTTTCTTTTCTAGAATGTCACACAGAAAATGAAATAAAATCCAGGGATCCTATCAGATGCAGAGAATGTGGATACAGAATAATGTACAAGAAAAGGACTAAAAGATGTATCCTTTTAACTATGCTTTCTAAATATGAGGTAGGAGGAAGTTAAGAATAATACTTGGGTTGATAGTTAAAGACTATCTCTGGTAAGAATGGTAATGGATTACTTACCCGAAAAAAAGACATGATCACCATTTTCATGGACCAGTATGCCAATCTATAGGCATATACTAATAATCTAAATACTAGTTGATTTTGGTTCTCAAAAGTCTGTTTCTCAGGGGTTCTATATTTAACTAAGTACTCATTATTGAGCTTGAGTTTATGGACAAACTAAATTATAGAAGGAGAAATATAGTGTACATATGCTACCTAATGGAAAAAGTGAGACTTACAAATTAGCTGAAAGACCGTAAATTGTTATGTGGTAACTGACAATATTTTTTAAATTAATAGGTAATCACTTTTAACATTACTTCAGTGTTTTTGGTGCATTGGTCTTGTATCATGGAAAGGAGACTAATAAATTTAAATAGTTTTTACTTCATTTTCAGTTGTCATAGTAAATAATGAATTCCATACTTCTGTGCATATTAGCTTAAATAACAAACTAGCTTATTGTAAAGAGAAAGGAACTAGGAAGTGTTAAGTCTTTTATGTAATTTTTAAATACTTCTTTTGTCCTTAACTCACTTTAACACAGTGGTGGTTTTTGATGCTCGGTGAAACAGAATTCATATTTGGATTTGCTGTTAATGTTGTTGTATAGCTTTTGATTGGTGTACTTACCTTTATGAATACAACTGTATACACATGATTTCATTTGAAAAACCATATTGTATTTAGGTATCTATTAATAGTTTATATAAAGAAATTATTTTTTGTTCAAGTACGTGATTTGTAATTGAATTCTATACTTCGTCTGACATATGATACACAATGTCAGTGTCAGCAATACACAGTGAAGGTTAAAAGTGCTTCCCCAAACCACACATTTAATCGAAACCTAGAATCATTGGGACCCTTCTTAAAAATAAAGTTTTCTAGGGATCTCTAAAAGTCTAATTAAGTTCCTTGGAAACCACTGTTTCGTATTATCAACTGTTTGTAAAGTCTCCAGCATCACTTTGTATAGTGTATACCAGTGCACTTACTGTCAGTGTGCATACGTGATTTTGAATTACATTTTTCATTTGTTACTTGAAGTAGGCCTTTCTGTATTTGTATATAATGCTTGATTATTTGTTAAATATTGGGCAAAAGAAAAGAAACTTTAATAGTTGCTTTCTGCAAAGCAAAACCCAACATCACATAAAGTGGATGAAGCAGACTATTATTAAGTCTGGTGCAATTCCCAGGTGTAATCATTCATTAAAGTAAAAAAAAAAAAAATCTGCTTTCAGGATATAAAAAGAATAGAGATTGGTTTACACTGAGTTACTGGATAAATGTTTAAAACTTTTACGTTGATCTTAGGGATATGGATACTCAGATACTCCATCTGTTCCAGGATTCCATTATTATGTTGGCCTCTCTAACATTCATTTTAAAGATCATATATATTCCAACTTTATTAATAGCTATGTGTGTCTCTTACATTCAAAATAATACATGCTGCTTTTTAAAAACCTGTGTTTTTACTACTGTCCTCGAATACTAAGTTCTGTAAATTTATTACTTGCTATACAAAGTATTACCATGCTCAAATTTTAAAGAGTGCTTCCTTGGTCCATGTTTTCTTTTAGCCATGGCTTTCATAATTTTGTAGTTCTGCCATGTTTCTTCTTGATCTTGTCCTTTTTTAGACAAAAGAGTCCCAATAAATAAGGTATCTCTTATGACAACCTTCTAAACAAACCCCAACTCACTGGATAATGTTGCTCTTAACTGTTCTAATTTCATAGGTTTATTTTACATATCATTAGCTTAATTAAATATTATTTGGTTAACCAGACAGCTGTTTAATGGAAAAAATATTACCACTGGAACTCATGACCACCATTTCAGTCAGTCAGTTATCTCCTTGTATCCCCTTCATCTATAAAATGGAAGTAATTTTACCTCTTGCCTACCTGACAGTTTTAAGAAAAAAATGATAAAATAGATATAAAATTGCTTTTAAAAGTTTCTTTTAAATGTACTCTATAAATATAAAAATCAGTAAGTCAAAACTTGAGGTTAACATATACGAGGTGTGATCAAACAATATGGTGAATGTTTAAATTAAAAAAATTATTACAATAAAATATACATAGCCATTAATCCCCCTCTAAATACTCCCACTTGCTTTGAACACACTTATCCCATCATTCTTGCCACTTTCTGAAGCAGTTTTGGAAGTCCTCTTTCATGAGTGTCTTTAGTTATGCTGTCATGGCTGCCTCCATGTCCTGAATCATTTTGACTTTGGGGAAAAGCCAGAAGTCT